TGGGATTTCGTGAATGGGATTCTTTTTTCCCGTGAATGGGATTTAATTGAGGGGTTTGACGCGTTGAATATCTGTTATTTCTCACTTGTACCCGAATACCGATCGTCTACTCACTTCCTATGAATCTGTCATCCATTCAGTCTCCATACATCGAGGGGCATCAATGGTACTGCACTACAGTCCCATTGCAATCCGCAACCCTCATAGGAATTCCTCCTTAACCTTCAATTCTTAAAAGCCAAAAATTAAGAAGAAAGAAAAATGTATGGTTAGTAAAAAGCTAAATCAAATAGGATTTGACCACCAACATTGTTGGACCTAATGTTTTGTTTAAGATCGGATTCTACCTAGATTTTTTTTTTTTTTTTGGGTCAGGATCGAATTGTGGAATCCTACAAAAAAAGATAAAATATATATATATATGCATACTAATAATTTTTAAAAGTTTGCAATTCACATAACCGACAATAAATACTCCCTCCCTTTTTTTATAACTGACGTTTAAGGTTTTGCACACCAATTAAGAAAAGTTTTTCATTGTTTAAATCTATACACTACTTTCCTTTTGTACCCTCATTAAAGAATATTTTTTTTTTGGTCAGGATCGAATTGTGAAATCGATGGATCCTACAAAAAAGGTAAAAAAAATATATATGTATATATATATATATTCATACTAATAATTTTTAAAAGTTTGCAATTCACATAACCGACAATAAATAATACAATTCATGTTCAATCAATATAATGGCCGCACGATAAGAACCACCGATCCTAGCTGTACTTAATCGTCGTTTAACTGAATCTCTCGAGATTATCTCTATTTTTGATTGGGGATTCCTCACTTGCTGAGAATTCTGAGAATGACCAAATACCCATTTCCATAAATTTCTTCAATTATTGAACACAAAATAGTGGGAGCTCTGATTTCACCCTAGTTATTAGTTAGGTTTTTTTTTCCACTTTATCCCTTGAAACATTAGTTAACTCTAATATTGTGTTGTATAATGGTGTTGTCAAAAAGATATTTATGCCCTTAATTAATAGTTAAATGCAATAATTCCCCTAACTTATTTTGCTCTTTATCTCCAAACATCATTTTTTCCTAATTTGTCTATTTGTCACCAAAATCTTTAGTCAACCCCGATATTTTATAATCCAGGGTAAATAATGTATAAAAATATATTTTCCTAACATAGTAATGAAAATGTTATATATTTACAGATATTGTACTAATTAAATTGGGAATGTGCATATGGTTGCACTTTTATTTTAATAGTTAGATATTTTCTTCATATTGGAATATAAATTTTTTGTTGTTAATACTTAAAAAAGAGAGAAACATTGTTCATTTGGGCTTTCAAGTTTCGAGGGTCATTTTTATAATATAGCATGATTAGATGCTATTAAAAATTGTTTGGATTGCTAAATTTTTCTAAAAAATTTTTTTTGTCGAGTCATAAGCACATTTCTCAATCATCTTTTTATTTTTTTCACAAACATCAGATAGCAAAAAGTATTACAATATTTTTTTAAAAAAATTTTCAAATAATCTTCAATCCAAACAAACCCAATCTATAGACCTTTAATAATATTTTTATAGTTTTTTTCTCACTAATAATTTTTCTTTTTCCCCTTATCATGCAAAACGAGTTGGGATATTACCCTTTATATAAAACCTACAATTATGGAGATAACATTTAACAAAGCCAATATCCATAAATGTACCATAATTTTCATTGTTATGTTAGGAATGCTGATTTAAATATTATCTATCTTGAGTGATTTTAGGGACAAATAGACAAAATAACAGAAAAATGAAATTAGAGGATATTGTATGTTAAGGGAATTTATTGGACTTAACACCTAAGGGCATAAATATCTTTATAACATTTTCGTTATACAATGTTAAAGTTGACTAAAGGTTTAAGGGATAAAATGAGAAAAAATCAACATTAAGAGATAAAGTGAAAATTTGTTAAATGTTAAGAGGAGTTTTTGTGATTAACCAATTTTTTATATTACGACATTATTAACCATTCCACTGATATTGAAGCTCGAAACCTTCCGTTTCATTCAATATCACATGGACATTAGAGGCATTCTTTTCTTTTGGTTGCTATAATTACTTTTTCGCGGTTGGGACTTCGGGGATACAAGTAGAACTTGAGCAGATTTCGTCAATACAAAACTGTTTTACCAACATTACCCCCCTAGTATGTTATTTGCACTTCCGCTATCTCAATTTTATTTCGATGAGACTATACTACCTCTACCCTAATTTTTTTGCCTTGCCCATGTGCTAACTATACTGGATGCGGTCATCCAATTAGGGTAGGAGTAGAAATCAGGATAGGAATAATACGGTTTCATCAAAATAAAAATGCGACAGTGGGAGTACAAATAGCATAATAGGAGTTTAAATAACATTATCCAAAAAACAATTGACAAAGATGAAGCTACCTCATAATTCTTGACAATTAAATAATTAAAAGAGTTACGGTCCACTTTCTTTGCCTTAACGAATTGAGTTCGTGGTTTATTACGAGTATTCTTAAAATCCCCATCCCATCATCAAGAGTCTTTTTCAGAGACTAGGACGTCTTCAAGATGGTATATGATGCAATGGTGGTTGTTGATTTCTCCCAAAAAATACCAAACCAGTAAAGCCATTAAAGTATTCCGTCTCCGTAAGAGATTAATCAATGCCATAAACTAACATTTATGTCAATTACATCTAGATATTTGGTCATCAAATACAAGCCGATCAAGTGAGAAGTCTTTGTTTGATGGTCTTCTTTAGTTAGTGTCTTATTAAAATTTTAATATTACTGCTAACCCCTTCCATTCACCCTATTAAGAGCAAGCGACACCAAATCCTCCACTTTTGCCCTTAGAATAACCAAATAATAACGAGTTAATGAATTCTAAAATCTTTTATCACAGAAGATTTATATGGGCAGAAGAAGGGATAGGGACTTCAGAAGGTAGTTCATGGAGTACGTAGTGTGATTGGAATTAATATACTATTGAGTATGACAAAACAATCGTTTCTTTGCTTTCCGCGATAGAGATTGTAGACGGACAAAAATGGGTTCTCTCCGGAGTAACTTTTACGCAGTAAAATGGCATGAAGTGCAAGCCAAAGGACGTTCACTCAGACTCAGTGCAGGAATTTATGTGCAGTAGTCAGCTTTGGACCTTTTGTGAAATACATATGACTCCAATTAGAAGTATTGTCATCATAAATCTTTTTTTTTTCAGCTAAAAGCCAGTTATTTGACTACAGTTAATTTTATTTTTTTTTTTGGCAACGAAGGAGTGAAATTTAAAATACTTAGAAGAAGAGGGATTTGAATTCAAAACCCCTAGCTCGGGAAGTGGTGTTTTTGACCACCACAATTAACTCTAATAGATATTGCTTGCACAATTTCCTTTTAGCAGCAAACATTAATCATCACATATTCACATGACCAAGTTGGTTCGTGCAGGAGTCACTATTCCGATCGAGTTGCAAATAAGTGACAGCCCTTTGGCGACGCGCGCATGTAACTTACTTTATAAACCCTTTTGCACAAGTCATGTATTAGTGGGTATCAACTCAACGTTGTTAATCTCCTATGATCAATAACACTAGGAATCATCACTGCGTTTGTTTAACTTTCTGGTCAAACGATTTTTAAAAGTTGCTTAACAAACTTTTGCTTACTTTTTTCCTAGTTTAACAGCCAGACCAACCACCTAGCTTTCATGCTAGTTGGTTAACTGTAATTGAAAAATGGGGATTTGGTGATTGATTGTTGGATCAAGTGGTGGATTAGTTTCTTTCCAGAAAGCCCAACTTTAAATGTCGATGATGGTTTAGGAAAAAAGAGGAAGCTTTTTAACTAAAACTACATTTCAAGAACTAAAAACTTTCACCAAAAAAAGAAAGAAAGTTGCTGTAAGTTGTAATGTATTCGAATTTCACTATCGAAGCTATGTCGATGATCCCTTTTTGTGTAATGACTAAGATATTTGTTTTCTAGCCAAATTTTATGTACAAAGCAAATGAGAAATCAGGCTGCAAATCTTTCGGTTAAGAAAGCAAACCCATGAAAAGCTACCATCCCTTAACTGCTTTGAGGTAAGGCAAACAGCAAAGGGTTTAAGCCACAAAAACACAAACCTCCAAAGATGCTCTAATCAAACAACCTTTGAAAAATTTTGGGAAATACCAGTATCGTGCATGAGGATTGTCTCCTATGTTTCCCTACAGGATTCTATACTAGTTACTCGTTCAGAACTCAAGTACCCTCATCATATGTCCAATGCCTTTTCTGCCGAATTTTGGTCTATCATCAATAGGACACCGATTAACTAGAAAAGAAAATGGTTTATTGCAGGAAAATCACTATATTCTTCGGTTATGTAAGCTTGAGTCCTTCGAGTTACTTAATTATTTCTTTATGTGATTAGGATTAGTAGTATTTCACTTTAATTTGTCCTGTAAGAGTAATGGATTTGTCACGCTTAATTTGTATCATTATTTTAATTAGTAAGAATTTAGTGATTAATCCTCATTCTTTACATGCATATATGCTTGTAGTTTGCTGTATTTCATATCAGATGGGGCCATAACTAATTATGTGATGACTTGATCACTAGCTGTTACGATTCAGTAGATAATATGCCCTTTTGAATATTGAAGGAAAGGGGTTTTTGTTAAAGCCTAAGAGAACTGTTTGATTTTCTGCAGCAATACAATACACCGGCCGGGTTAAAAATAATAATAACAACACCACAGCAAAATGAGAATTAGTTGGCACTGCTTCAATTCTTTCCCTATGTCATCCACATGACTCCTTACGTACGTAGAAAAGCAGTGCCATGTTTGGTCACGTTAGCTAGGATTTGTTGTAATAAAACCACTATTTGTTAGGCCAACCTGACTCTTAATTATAACCAGCAGCTTTGGTAGATGTTTTGAGAGCTGTATCCTAGAGTTAGTAGCTTCAAGATTTATCCTCCGATGTACATCCCTCGTTAACTACTTGGTGTGAATTACAAGAAATACATTCCACCGAAACTCTGACGCCTTGAGTGTATTTTCCTTCTCAAAAATCCTTTCTATATAGCCCCTGAAGCTAACGACGTACAGCGACGTCGTAGCTAAGAAGCTAGCTTGTTTCTTCATGTTGATAGGCCCTCCCTGCCATCAACCTCAAGTATTCGGGATAGAAGATTCGCCCAAAGAAGTATGCTTGTTCATATTTATAGCCCTTCTCTGCCATCAATCCAAGGGATTCGAGAAAATTGACTCAGCTCATTTCTCACGCACAAACACACATAACAGAGGGATGGCGACATGGTTTCAAGTCGTGGTGCTGATTGCTTGTTTGCTTCCTTCACTGGTTGAATGCCGCGTTCGTGAATACAAATTCAACGTGAGCAATGCATGAATCACTTTTTTTATCTCGTATCAGAAAAAGTGATACATAATTATTCAAAAATTATTTTCTGTGCTTGCATGGCAAAGTATTCCAATTGAGTTTCTTTTTTCGGGCAAATGCCATTGCTTATTATGCAATGCCGCAATAAAAATTTAGATATCCTGCACTTGATTTAACTTTTTGATCAGAAATTAGGAGAGAAAATGATATGGTTGAAACTGATGGCAAGGGAACCAGGTGGTGATGGCGAACGCCACAAGACTATGCTCAACTAAGCCCATAGTGACAGTGAATGGGCAGTTTCCGGGTCCGACGATCTATGCCAGGGAAGATGACACCGTTCTCATCAAGGTTGTCAACCACGTCAAATACAACCTCTCCATCCATTGGTTAGGCCTATGACCCCACCATGTATATGATGATGCTTTCATTCCAATTCTCCGTTTCTTCTCTAAAATGCCACTGAATTTGGAAATAAAGTCTAAAATTCTCTCTGATTTTCCACCATTTTCACCCTCTTTTCATTCAACATACTCTTCAATTTTTTTGAAATCATTCTTCAATTGACTCAATAATTAACATGCTCTAATTGCCCCTGTTGCTAACCAGTCTGAACCACTAATACCGTAGCACTTATTTGATGTGATGCATGTGAAATAAAAAAAAATAATTAAAAATACATATTTATAATGCAAGCAAATAAATTTGTGTCAATAATAAAATTCTGTTAACTAAACACACCGTGTGTTTTGGACTTATGCGCAGGCATGGCGTCAGGCAGCTTCGAACGGGATGGGCCGACGGTCCAGCATACATTACGCAATGTCCAATTCAGCCAGGGCAAACCTATGTCTACAACTTCACAATCACAGGCCAGAGAGGAACGCTTTGGTGGCATGCTCATATCCTATGGCTTAGGGCCACTCTCCACGGCGCACTTGTCATCCTTCCAAAGCCCGGCGTACCATACCCATTTCCCAGCCCACACGAGGAAACAATCGTCATATTAGGTCATATAAAATGTTTTTCAAAAAAAAAAAAAAAAGAAGAGTTATTGATAGTATTACCATGCATCCATCATCTTTTAAAATTTCTATGCTTTGACTTTGTAGGTGAGTGGTGGAAGTCAGATGTTGAATCGGTTATCAAAGAAGCATTGAAATCGGGCTTGGCACCTAATGTTTCCGATGCTCACACGATCAACGGCCATCCAGGGTCCGTCCCGAATTGCTTCTCTAAAGGTAGCCATCGAATTCCTAACATGCATGCAATTTCAATCTGTGCAAATCCCCAGTTTGCGCCTAACAATTGTGCATGCTTTCATGCGCCATAATTACTCTTTTTGGTGACACTACTAGTACTAGATGACTAAATCCAATCCTATAATACGCTGAAGTCCAATACATGATGTTCTTAATTAATTTCATGTGATCTTCATGAACCTCTTTTTTTTTTCTTTTTTGGGGGTAATAATACCCAGGAAGGTTCAGATTGCCGGTGGATCCAGGCAAGAAATACATGCTGAGAATCATCAATGCAGCGCTTAATGACGAACTTTTCTTCAAGATTGCTGGTCACAATCTCACAATAGTTGAGGTTGATGCAGCATATGTGAAACCATTCACAACCGACACTATTCTAATAGCACCAGGCCAGACCACCAACGCCATTGTATCCACCGATCAGGAAAGTGGCAAGTACTTAATGGCAGCTTCGCCATTTATGGACGCCCCTATTGCAGTTGATAACCTTACCGCCACTGCCACATTACGTTATTCCGGCACCGTTTCGAGTATTGCCACCACCTTGACAAGTCTGCCGTCTAAAAATGCCACCCCTGTGGCTACAAAATTTATGGACTCCCTCAGAAGCCTGAACTCGCAAGAATACCCTGCCCAGGTTCCCTTGGATATTGATCATTCTCTTCTTTTCACGATTAGCATTGGAATCAACCCTTGCGCTACTTGTGTCAATGGTAGCCGACTCGCGGCTGATATCAATAATATCAGCTTCGTCTTGCCCAAAATCTCTCTCCTGAATGCACATTTCTTTAATCTAAGCGGAGTATTCACTGATGATTTTCCAGGGAACCCGTTAATGCCGTATAATTATACGGGCAAGCAGCCTACCAACCTGGGGACTATGAAAGGAACTAGGCTATATAGACTTGCCTACAATTCCACTGTACAGTTAGTATTGCAAGATACTGGGATGATTAGCCCTGAAAGCCATCCATTTCATCTGCATGGTTTCAACTTTTTTGTGGTCGGAAGTGGTATAGGCAATTTCAACCCCAACAAGGATCCGCCTAATTTCAATCTTGTTGACCCTGTTGAAAGAAATACGGTCGGAGTGCCTACTGGTGGCTGGGTTGCCATCAGATTCCGAGCTGATAATCCGGGTAATTTCTTGCTATCAAAATTTTAATTTTTTCTTTTTTTTTTTTTGCACAAGTAGTAGATGTTATATTACATTTATTACTCGCGATTAATGTTATGATGCGGAAATAACGCATTAGCTTGAGCGAGACAAGACTCGATAAACCCAAATTTTGTCGAATGATTAGTTGTTCACCTAATAATGGACTAATGCTGCCGGAAAAAGCTAGCAGACAATTGGTGGAACTTACGTAATTAAATGAACTTTGACTCAACAGCTGTTTGCAAGTAAACAAACATCCTGTTAAAGTTGTGAACTTTGTTCTCCAATAAATCCATAAACACTTCACTATAGTATCTGATCTCTAATGAAGTTCTTTAACTGATAAGTGCCAGTGTTATTAGATGATTTTCTGTAACATCTTCATGTTCTTGTTGTAGGGGTGTGGTTCTTGCACTGTCACTTGGAAGTTCACACCACATGGGGACTTAAGATGGCATTTGTGGTGGACAATGGGAGAGATCCAGATGAATCCCTTCTACCACCACCGACAGATTTACCCAAATGTTGAGAACTTTCGGATACTCCATGTACATTATATAACTTCAAAAATCAGACAACGGAAGGCTGGACACTCAACATATAACAGGGCAGTTCACCCGGTAGATTTCGTTTTATAGCTTTCGGCTTGTTGCCATGAACAATCATACAAAGATAAGGAAATTACCGTGATAAACTTTTATGTTCTGGAAAAGGATAAAGAATTAAGAGGGAATGAATAGCTGAAGCAACTGTCCCTAAGATCCTGGGTAGTGTTGGATTGGATGATAAGGTGGGAGAGATTGTAAGTAAAAATTCCTAAATTCAAGAGTTTTCGCTTACAAAAAAAAAAAATTAATCGTAATTGAAGATTACTGTCCCTAGGATCTGATTTGTTTGGTTTCAATTCCTGGTGCCAAATGCAATTGTAATTTAAATTGTGATGTATCCTTTTGCTACACGTAGTGTCTGATTCGTCAAGGTGAAGCTTCGGTCCAAACGAAGTTTATCATACCATTCCTTTATGACGCAGTTGAACCTGGAGTAGAAATTTGCAGATATGGAGAATTACACTGTCAGTTCCTAATCCTCCATCGAATTTCACCGTGGTCCACTTATTTTTTCACTTTTCAAGCCAATTTGCAACAAGTAAACAATAAGGGGTTTACGTGAAAATGTGAGACTTTTTGCAAGTAAAATGCCCCTGATCTGATCTCTTTCTTCTACTTTCTGTGCGAGCTTCCTTGATCTTAAAACAGAAGAAAATTTGTGGATACAAGCGTCACGTGACTAAAAAAACTCAAGATAGCTTAGTGGATTCAATCCTCTTTGGTTGGAGTAGATGGGCAATTAAACAAAATGGTTGTCGATGCAGGAGAAAAATGGATCGAAAATACAACAAAAGCCTATGCATTAATATTGGAGAGTACATATTTCTTCGTGATTTGTTTGCAAGTAGCAGCAAAGATATAATTTGTAAAAAATTAGCTTTTCCTCGAGTAAACAGTACTATTAGAAGGAGGTCCCATAGGATATGTAAAACTTTTTCGTTCTTTTCTTATTCAACTCTCGTTCATTTGATCCGACAAATGAGAGTTCGAGGGAATTGGTCGAGGTGCCTTGAGAAAGGTAATTGAAATACTGATCATCATAATGGAGAACTATTCAGTGAGCAGATGCCGAAATCATAGCTGTTTCAAGCAACGTTTGAACTAAGGGAAAAAATATATATATATATATATATGAGTGGAAGATGAAAGGTACCATTGGCCAACTACATAAACCCTAAGTCGGAAAAACAGCAACCCAAGTCATAGATGATAGAACCCAATTCTCCACAAGCCCTTCTTCCTCAAGCTTTGGACTAGTAATTGTTAACTTTGGCAAGAATAATTATACGAAATCACAGCTCATCTTGCTTGCCAGAAAAACTAGAAATACAGCTCATATATCAATAATAATGCATGAACTCGATCGTTCTACTGGTATTGTTAGGTCAATCATTATTAATATATGGTAGTGCCTAAGTGGCATATATATAAGTCTATAATGCACGTAAATGTTAGAAGAATTAAAACTCTGTTTGCTCTTGTAAAATGATAATGTTTAGAAAATAAAATGTTTTGGATATAATACTCGGTTGATTTTTCTCCCATGGTGGGCGGAAATAGTACAACAATGTATGTATATATGCTAAGCGATCCCTTAGTCAACTGGTTTCTGTAAATTACAAGGTACCATATAAAAAATAGAGCTACTCTGTAGAGTGTCATTTTCGCCCGCAAATCTGACTAAAACGACATTGTAGCCAAGATCCTTTAAAAGTTCAATCTAACGTAACGCACCAAGTTAAACTACTAGAATTGAACTAGTAGAAGAAGAAGATCCACACCCGCACACACGCACAGAGAAAGAGATGGCACCATCATCATCATCATCATGGCTTCGGCTTCGAGTGTTGGTGCTGGTGGCTTGTTTACTTCCGTCATTCATCCAATGCAAGATCCGCATTTACAAGTTCAATGTAAGTCATCCAAATTCTTCTAACTCAGTACAGAATTGCAATCCTTGCCCAGAAATAGAATGTTGCATGGAACATGCATGATGCTCTAGCTCCACATATCATCATCAGGCTCCTATGTTTAATTAGATTCATCTTATGATTTACATGCATTTTGTTTTCCAACTCGGGCTTCTAATTATACTTTCTTACCCTGATTCAAAATGCATTATGAGTTCCATATAGGCATCAATTTGCATTAATTAGCTTGCACTAATGACAATGCTGGCAGTCCACAGAGGCCAGAATCAAGGCTGGGCTAACAAATTGGATTGTTTAGTACGTAGTAATTCTCCAATGCTATCGCCACTTAGCTTTAAACTGGCAAGTAGTAGTTTGGAAAATGGAAGAATCAAATTAAATAAGAGATTAAAATGCTACGATAAGGTGTGGTCAGGTGATGGCGACGAACACTACAAGACTATGCTCAACTAAGCCTGCAGTTACAGTTAACGGGCTTTTCCCGGGTCCAACAATCTTTGCCAATGAAGACGACGACCTACTCGTCAAGGTTGTCAACCAGGTCCAGTACAATTTGACCATCCACTGGTTAGTCTGAAACTGTACAATTTGACAATCCATCCTTCTTCTTTTTTTTTTTCTAACTTTTTGCCTAATTTTTATTCTGCTGTTCACAAAGAACAGCGAAATGGATTTTATCTACACAAAAAAAAAAAATTTTGTTTGGATAGTTGATGGTGTGCATTTTTTATTTCACTTGTGGGCAGGCACGGAATAAAGCAACTTCGCAGCGGATGGGCGGACGGGCCGGCATTCATAACCCAATGTCCAATTCAACCAGGGCAAACTTACGTGTACAACTTCACAATCACAGACCAGAGAGGAACGCTTTGGTGGCACGCTCATATTGGCTGGCTCCGGGCCACCGTCCACGGAGCACTTGTTATCCTGCCTAAACTTGGCCTGCCCTACCCCTTTCCCCCCCCGGATAGCGAAGTGGTCATCATTTTAGGTCGTACTAATATTTATGCGAAAATCGCCTTCTTTTAAGCATTTCTAGTGTACTTTCGAAGCATTATTTATGTCGCTGCTTAGGTCCTCTTCTTAACTGATTTTGATTGTATAAAAATTATTTTCAGAAAATCAGAATTTTAAAAAAAAAAATACTAAACTAGAAGCTTCTGATTTTCAATTTTTTTTTATTACGCTAAAAAAAATCCAAAATTAGGATATGAAAAGCTATTGAAAACAGAAGGAGGAAGATTTAGCTGAGAACAAGAACTTAATGGATTATTTATTTTATATGGTTGCTGCAATTGTGTTTTATGTGAAAGCTCTGGTTTAATCAAATTTCCTCGTTCAATTCATAGCTGAATGGTGGAAGTCAGATATCGAGACGCTGATCAATAGCGCAATGAAAGAAGGCCTTCCATTTCAGGTTTCTGATGCATACACAATCAATGGCCAATCAAGGCCTATCTCAAATTGCTCTTCAGAAGGTACAAAGCAAATTTGTTCTGCTACTGTCTCTTCTATTACCTTGCAATGAGCTTGATTGAATGTTCAGGATTTGATCGCCATGTATTTTCGCTTCTAAAAAATTGGACAGGGGGATTTAGTTTTCCGGTGGAACCAGGCAAGAAATATATGCTGAGGATCATCAATGCTGCACTTAATGAAGAGCTCTTCTTCAAGATTGCCGGCCACAGTCTCACGGTTGTTGAGGTTGATGCAACCTATGTGAAACCATTCAAAACAGGCACCATTTTCATAACGCCAGGGCAGACCACAAATGCCATTTTAGAGGCTGATCTTGGTACGGGCAACTACTTGATGGCAGCCTCACCATTCATGGCGGAGCCCGTTCCTATCGACTACACGGCTGCCACTGCCACTGTGCATTATTCCGGCACCCAATCATCTGCAGCCACCACATTTACAGACCTTCCACCTAGAAATGCAACTCCTCTGGCTACAGCATTCGTCGACTCTCTGAAAAGCCTCAACTCACAAAGATACCCTGCCAGAGTCCCCTTGACCGTTGATCATTCTCTCCTTTTCACAATGGGCCTAGGCTTCAACCCCTGTGCTACTTGCATCCGTGGATCGCGAATAGCTGCGTACTTCAACAACATCTCATTCATCAGGCCAGAGATCTCGCTCCTTAATGCACATTTCTTTAATATCAGCGGTGTCTTCGCTGATGATTTTCCGGGGAATCCGCCAATCCGGTATAACTACACCGGCGAACAGCCTAAGAACCTTAGGACAATGGAAGGTACGAGGCTTTACAGACTCGCCTTTAACTCGACAGTTCAACTGGTCTTGCAAGACACCGCAATGATCACCCCGGAAAACCATCCGATTCATTTGCACGGAATGAACTTCTTCGTCGTGGGAAGAGGTTTGGGGAATTTCGATCCAGAAAAGGATCCCAGCAACTTTAATCTTGTAGACCCTGTGGAAAGAAACACCGTTGGAGTCCCTTCTGGTGGATGGGTAGCTGTCAGATTCAGGGCTGATAATCCAGGTAACGTGTTATTACCAAATGCAGGACAGCACCCTTGCGGCAAATTTTTTACTAATCGCATTAATTTGGTACATTCTTTTTTTTTTTTTTTTGGCTGCTGCAAATCAGCATTACTGAGATAAATTTAACTATTAACCGATTTGATCCTCAAAAAATAATTTTTTGTTTAAATCAAGATTCTGATTGTTCTTTTGCAGGAGTTTGGTTCATGCATTGCCATCTAGAATCACACACACTTGTGGGACTTGAGATGGCATTTGTGGTGGACAATGGGCAAGGACCAAATCAATCTGTTCGTCCACCTCCTAGAGATCTTCCCAGCTGCTGAGAATTTCCCAAGGCCGAAAATGCTGTCGCTTGCGCGTTACTTTCTTTTTGGGTTTCCTCCGTTGTAAAGTCAAAGATGGAGAAGAGATGGCAGACTAGGCATGAAAATAAGGACATCACACACACCACTTGATCAATTCCCGCTGCCAAATGTGACGGTTCCATCCAATGTTTGTGGAATACGTACAATAATGTATACTACTGATTGTAAATTTTTTTTTTTTTTTTTTTTTTTACTCCCCACCTCCTGGAACAAAGATTAGGCATATCATAAGATGAACCATTTTCTGTCTAACTCTGCCGGGCAATCATAAGCTGATATCCTTCATACGAACAAGCATTGCATATTTGCATCCACACACAACGTTGATAAATAGTAGTAAACAAAATCATCTTTACACCTTATGCTCCTCAAAGAAAATAGGTACTCTAGAAAATAGATAACAAAACAATTCATTTTTCTTTTTGTTCAAGCCTCTTTCACTCCCAGAATGGTAGAGCCATCTAACCAACACTCCAGCTCCTTGGTTGTCTTATCATCAAGGAAACTATGGGTACTACCACTTTCTATAAGTATACTCATAGGTCTCCTCCTAATGTACCTAGGCCTGTCAATGGGTCGGGTCTAGATCCGGATCCGGACCGGATCCGTGAAATTATTGTGGGTATGGGTAGGGATTTAATTCCGTTTTCCGGATCCGGATCCGGATCCGTTT